AAGCCACCAGGTCCGGGACACGAACCGCGGTCGACTACATGGGAGTCCAGCGACATAGCCATTACGCTAACTGCTGTTCCCAATTTTTACTCATTACATGTGCATACGCTCTGAGGGCCGAGAGCCCCCTGCGGCATTGGTGAAGCAAGCCAGCTAACAACATATGGACATCGCTCCTCTGGCCGAAGACGAGTTTGGTAATATTCATAAACAGCACAAATACATAGATTCTTCGGCCAAGAAACCTCATGACAGAGACCTTACATGTGTGCGCGGACGTGCTTGTAAGGTTACTCTGCGGCTGTTTATAGAACAGCGAGAGATTGGAGCGGGCCCAGGCACCGATCGCTGGACGAGGAGTTGCATAAATTACTGTTCAGCTCCACGACGGGATAGAGGGCAGGTCTGCAGAAGAACGGGCCGTCCACTTGGGCTGATAGAGAAAGCCCTCCGAGGGACAGCATTCAAGAAAGAACTGAACGTTACACATACGTGTGTCATTTGCTGTTTTTAGTGAAAACGTGGGGAGGAAACAAGAAGAAATAGATATTTAGTTTTTCCATTAAAACACTAAATGGAACACGTTTAGACAGCTCTGGCCCTGGCAACGGGACAATCACACCAGAGAGTGTGGGTATGCCCAAAATCCCCCAAGGAAGAAGAGCTGGAGGAGAAGGGATTGCACTGTAGCCAGCCCCCCGGGAGGTGCTTTTTCATTTTCTCTTTCTCTCTGACTCTCTCTCTCTCTGTGTCTCTCTCTCTGTGTCACTCTCTGATGAGTGCACACACTCTACAACAAAAAACTCTTTTTAAAAAATATTTCTTTATTTAATCCCATTTGTTATTATTATTATTATTTTACCAGAGAGAGATAAAGAGACAAAGAGAAAGGGAAAGCGAGAAAGCAAGCCACCAGGTCTGGGACTCGAACCGTGGTCAGCCATGTGAGAATCCAGAGCCCTTAACCACCACGCCACCTGCCGGCCCCTACAACAAAAACTTTTTTTAAAAAGTGGTTTTTTGAAATATGGAAATATGGCTTTTAAAAATTATGTATTTATTGGGACCAACAGTTGACGAAATGGTTATGTCACTGGACTCTGACGTAGTTGACTACGGTTTGAATCCCAGATCCGGCGACTTAAAACTCATATTGGGAGCATGTGCGTGCCCAAAATCCTGAGAGGAGAATGGAGGAGAAGGGATAGTGGTGTGGCCATCCTCCCCTGGGGGGTGATTTCTTGCTTTCTGTCTTTCTGTCTCTCTCTGTCTTTCCTGTAAGTACGTGCACCCTATAGCAACAATCTCTGTTTAAAAAAATGTATTTATTTAACTTTGTATGTTATTATTTTAAAATTTGCTATAGGGCACGTGTACACATCAGAGAGAGAGAGAGAGAGAGAGAGAGAGAGAGTGAGGCAGCAAGCTGCCAGGTCCAGGACTTGAACAATGTTTGACCCTGTGGGAATCTAGCACTTAACCACTGTGCCATCTGCCGGCCCCCTTTTGTGGAATATATAGATAGACAGACAGAGAGAGACCCTTGAAGGGTCTTGCCACACCGCGATTTGTCCCCAGGCTGGGATCACAGGCATGCTCAGTCACGCAGTGTGTTCAGGTGGACCTGGGATTCGAACCTGGACCTCCCGTATAACCCCGGTGTCATGCAGCAGTGCCTTCCCACCTGCACTAGCACAGCTGGGCCATTCTAAGCATGTTGAAGTGCACATTTCACTGACATGAAGTCCTCTCGCATCCCACTGTCCTTTTCTAGAACTTTCTCATCTGAACACTCACTCGCAGCCCGTCCCCAGCCCAGCACCCCGGTCCCTACTTCCCGTTTCTATAAATATGTCTCCTCCAGGGCGCCCCTGTGAGTGGAATCAGACGGTGCTTGTCCTTCGGTGTCTGGGTTGTCTCACGGAGCGCCATGGCCCCAGGTTCATCTGTGTTACATCTCGTGTCAGAATTTCCAATGTTCCTTTTTGGCCGGAGGGTGCATGTGCTCACCAGAGACAGGGAGGCGGACAGAGGGGAAGGAGAAAATATTTCCGAGGGAGCACGGTCTTGCTGCATCTTCGCCATTCTTTTCTGGGGACTTGGGGCACGCACGCACACACCGCACACCCCTGGTACCCCTCAAGCCACCAGTTCCAGGATCTTTTTTTTATTTTTATTTTTAGAGAGAGAGATTTTAGCTCTAGGGCACATGTGCTGGCCAGAGAGACAGAAAGACAGAAAGCAGGAAATCACCCCCCCAGGGGGATGGCCATGCGACCATACCTTCCCCTCCATTCTCCTCTTGGGATTTTGGGCACGCACGCACACGTGTCTGGCGTGAGTTTAAGCTGCAGTTTAAGTGAACAGGGTCTCTATCCTTCTCTCTCGCTCTCTCTTTTTTAATGAATTATTTATTTAATTGCATTTATTATTATTACTTTTATTGTTATTATGTTAGGGGTTTATGCATTAGGGCACGTGCACTTGCCAGAGAGAGACAGAGACAGAGACAGTGGGATGGAAAATGAGAAATCACCCCCTGGGGGATGCCCACACTGCAATCCCTTCTCCTCCATTCTCCTCCCGGGATTGGGAATGCACACACACACACGCCCGGTGTGATTTATCGAATCACCAGATCTGGGACTTGAACCACATTCGGCCATGTGGGAGTCTAGCGAAGTAACCACGACACCATCTGTGGCCTCTTATTGTTATTTTAATTCGCTATAGGGTATGCGTGCTTGCCTGAGGGAGATAGAGACAGACAGAGTGAGAGAGAAAGTGAGAAAGCAAGCTGCCAGGTCTGGGACTCAAACCAGAGTCGGCCATGTGGGAGACCAGCGCCTTCACCACCACGCCACCTGCTGGTCCCGACCAGGATCTCTTGACTAGCTGCGAGGTGTGAGAAACAGGAACGGCAAGCGTTCTGGCCCCAGCACCCAGCAGAATGAACTCATCTTTGCAGAGACAGGAAAGACTCGGGGAGGGGCGTGTGAGCGTCGAAAGCCAAGGGTTGGCGCGTCTTCAACACCTCTTGAACCCCGGCCAGTGTCCCTCGGTCAGCCCTCGGCTGCACCCAGCCAGGCCTGAGTAACGGCTTTTCCCCCCACGGCTGTTTGTTTCTGCAGTTGCCACTTGGAGTGCATGAGTCGCTCTCCCATCCAACAGAGACTGACTCAGCATGATTTAAGCAGCGAAGGAATTTATGGGGTGGATACGGGGGGCTCCCGGCATCATCGGCCTTGGAAAGGGGACAGGACCACAGCTGAAGTCATCCCCCCCACACCGAACCCCCACAACTGCACACCCCACCCCCAAAGACCTACTGAGGACAGCTTTCATGCAGGGTGGCCGTGACGGCTTCTTCCAGACCATGGGATAACTTCTTCCTTTCTTTCTTTTTTAATAATTATTTTACTTTATAAAAACATTTATTTATTTATTTATTCATTTATTTTCATTTGACCAAAAAGAGACACAGAGAGAGAGGGAAAGTGAGAAAGCAAGCCACCGGGTCTGGGACTCAAACCATGGTTGGCCATGTCGGCGTGTCCAGCATTTTAACCACTACCCCACCTGCTGGTCCCTCTTTTACTTTTTAAACTTTAGGTATGCATTTATTTATTTTAATTTCACCACCGAGGGACAGAGAGAGAGAGAAAGTGAGAAAGTAAGCCACCAGGTCCGGGACAAGAACCATGATCGGCCATGTGGGAGTGCAGTGCCCTTAGCCACCACGCCACCTGCCGGCCCCAACTTTGACTTTTTTGGTTTGTTTGTTTGCTTTTTAAGAAGTTTTTGCTATAGGGCACGCAAGCTCGCTGGAGAGACAGAAAGTGAGAAATCACCTCCCAGGGGGATGGCCACGCTGCAATCCCTTCTCCTCCATTCATTCTTCTTCCAGGATTTTGGGCGCACACGCACACCTGCCTGGTGTGAGTTTCAAGCTGCCAGGTCTAAGACTTGAACTGTGTCAGCCATGTGGAGTCCAGCACCTTAATCACTATGCCACTTGCTGGCCTCTACAATTGTCTTTTAAATTTAGGGATCAGCAGATGGCATAATGGTTACGTCGCCGGATTTCCATGTAGTTGACCATTGTTCGAGTCCCGGACCCGGAGGCTTGAGACTAATGTCAGATATGTGTGTGTGCGTGCCCAAAATCCAGAAGGGAGAATGGAGAAGGGATTGTGGCATGGCCATTTCTCTTGAGGGGAAGGGGGTGATTTCTCACTTTTTGTCTCTTTCTCTCTGTCTCTCTGGCAAGTACATGTGCTCTACATAGCAAAAGTCTCTCTCAAAAAATATATATATTTAGGGACTAGCAGATGGTGGAATGGTTATGTTGCTGGACTCCCACATAATTGATTGTGGTTTGAATCCTGGACCCACTGGCTTAAAACACTGGGTGTGTGTGTCATGCCTAAACTCTCCAGAGGAGAATGGAGAAGGCATTGCTGTCTGGCTATTTTCCCTGGGGTGTGATTTCTCACTTTCTGTCTCCCTGTCTCTCCAGCAAGTGAACACACCCTATAGCAAAAAACCTTCTCTAAAAAACAAAAAAAGTATTAGGACCAGCAGTCCGCGTAATGGCTATGTCGCTGGACTCCCATGTAGTCAAGGGCTGTTTGAGTCCTGGACCCCCTTGAACTCACGCCAGGTGTCTGTGTGTGTGCCCAAGATCCCGAGAGGAGAATGGAGGAGACGGGATTGTGGTGTGGCCATCCCCCCCGGGGGTGATCTCTCAGTTTCCCTCTCTCTGTCTCTCTCTGGAAATGCATTTGTCCTATAGCCAACATCAAACACACGCAATAGAAAAACAAATCCATTTGTTTCTGAAGCTTCTGCAGGAAGGCCAGGAAACTCGGGGACTCCAACCTAAGGGTGGTGGTGGTGGGGGGGTCCCTATAACTTTAAAATGTTTAACTTAAATTTAACAAGTGGAACTCTTTGAAATATTGAACATAACTACAGCTGGTGGCTATAAACATATTTAATGGAAAAATAAATTCATACATTGCTGGAGGGTTTGCAATTTACTTACGGGGTGTGTGACCAGGAAAGTTAAGACCCTCTTTTCCACACCTCCCCACCCCCATATGACCTAGCTTGAGTGTCTTTGAGTAGGGGGTTTGGGGTGTTGGTTCTGGAATATTCTTGTAATCCCAGGCCCAGGATAATGAAGCCTCATGGCGATGAGATTGAAGAAGGCAGAGTCTTCTCATCTTTCAAGGTCCATGACAATGCCTCCTCCTCCAGGAAGCCTCCCTTGCTTTCCCAAACATAGCCCTGGCTTTCTGCTCTTGGCCCCTCTCAGCCCAGGGTGACCGGGTCTCACTCTCTAGACCTAACTAACCACAGAGAAGTCTGTGCCTGGAAGCTGTGGCCTTTCTGGGGGGAGGGAGGAGTGGGTGTCAGACCTGGCAAGGCAGTTTGTTGCATAAATGAATGCGTAAAGGAATGAATGAATGCAGATCTGTCTGGACCATTGAGCAGTTCGGGGGTGGGGAGGCTCCTGTCTGGCTTGCTCATCGGGGCCTCACCCGGGTGGGAAGGCAGCCGCAGGCCAGGAATCGCAGGCTGAGGTAGAGCAGGCGCGGCCAGCGGAAGAGGAGGCCGTGGGTGGCTCGCACGTAAAGGTGGCCGGAGGGGTTGGCGGCCTTGAGCGCGGTCAGCGGGCTGTAGCGGGCGTTGGTCTGTCTGCGCAGGGGTGGCCGGGTGGAGCCGATGACCTTGACGATGGCCTGCGGGGTGCAAGCCTGAGCTCTGGGGCGTCGGGAGGGCTTTCCCTGCCGCAGGGCTGAGCCCCACTCACCTGCGCCACCTCCTGTGGGCTCTGCCCCACCGAGCGGAAGAGCTCCCTGGAGGCCGGGAGGTAGAGGTCCCGGAAGTAGCTCAGGGTCTCGGGGTCGGTGCCCGGGAACTCGGCTTCCGCCACTTGTGCCAAGAGCTTCCCTTCAAAGTCAGTGACCACTGGGCCTGGCTCCACTAGGGAGATGCTGGGGACAGGACAGGGGAAGGGTCGGGGCCCCAACTCACGAGCTGCCCCATCTTGCCCATACTGTCCCCCTTTCCTCCTCAAGCCCCACTTCCCCCATTATTGAAAAAAAAATTGTCTGGGGCCAGCAGATAGCGTGGTGGTTAAGGCATGGGACTCCCATGTGGCCAGCCATAGTTTGAGTCCCAGACCTGGTGGCTTGAGGGTCAGGCCGGATGTGTGTGCATGCGTGCCCCAAATTCCAGGAGGAGCGTGAAGAAGTGATGGTGGCATGGCCATCCCTCCTGAAGGGGGGATGTCTCACTTTCCCTCTCTGTCTCTATCTCTCTCTTTGGTGACCACACGCTCCCTATGGCAAAAGCCTACCAAAAAAAAAAAAAAAAAAAAACTTTGTATTTTTTAATTAGAAAATACAAAGTTGCAACCAATGGCATAGCGGTTGGGGAACTCAACTCCCACGTGGCTGACCGTGGTCTGAGTCCTGGACCCAGCAGCTTGAAAATCACTCCGGGTGCATGTGCATGCATGCCCCCAATCCCAAGAGAACGGAGAAGGGACTGTGGAATGGCTGTCCCTCTTCGGGGGGGTCATTTCTCACTTTCCCTCTCTCTGTCTCTCACTGGTTAGTGCACATACCCTATGGCAAAAGCAAAACCAAAAATGTTTATTTGGGGCTGGCAGGTGGCACGGTGGTTAGGGCGCTGGATTCCCACATGGCAGACCATGGTTCGAGTCCCGGACCTGGCGGCTTGCGTTTTCTCTCTCTCTTGCTCTGTCCCTATCTGGTCAAATTAAAAATAATCAATAATCACCACACCCATCCCTTTTCCTCTTTACCAGTCGCATTTTCCTGCCTCCAAGCACTCCACCATCATCGCTCTCTCACTCTCTCCCTGCCTCCGTTCACCCCACCAGGGTCTTTCTCTCTCCTCTCTCCTTATTTTCCCAACTCCCCACCACTGCCGCCCTGCCCTAGTGCCCGCCTCACAAGACGTTGAACTGGAGCAGCTGGATAGCCAGACTCTCGAAGAACCCCTCTATGGCGAACTTGGAGGCCGCGTAGACATCGTTGAACATGACACCTGGAGGGTTGGAGGGAGAGAGGTTTCTTTGGGGAGGGAGCCTGGGTGATGGGTTTTGTGGGTCCTAAAGTGATGAGGTCTTGGGAGACAGAACAAAGAGGATTCGGGGCTGTCTGGTGCCAATATGATGGGTGCATGACATTGAAGGGTGGGAGTACGTAAGGTCAGGAGAGATTGTCCTGGGTCCCCAGGTGTCATCTGCTCTGTCCCAGAACACCCCCCCCCATTTCCCATCACCCCCTAAGCCCCTGGGACTGCTTGGGTGAGTGACAATAAGATGGATTTCTTTCCGTTTCTTTTTGAGAGAGAGATTTTTGCTACAGTGCATGTGTGTTCACCAGGGAGACAGAGAGAGATGGAGAGACAGAAAGTGAGAAATCACCCCGCAGGGAGAATGGCCATGCCACTCACAATCCCTCCTCTTCCACTCTCCTCTCAGGATTTTGGGCATACATGCACATGTGCCCAGTGTGAGTTTCAAGCCTCCAGGTCCGGGACTCGAACCATGGTCAGTCATGTGGAAATCCAGTGATGTAACCATTACACCATCTGCTGGCCCCTAGGATAGATTCTTTAAGAGATGGCTGGGGTTTACATACTGAGTTCTCAACACCTTTGTAGGAATGAGTTTATCAGAGCCCTTGTTTTGTGATCAGAATAGATTCGACACACAGTAGCAGACTGTATTCATTATCAAGTAGCTATCTATTGCTGCAAAATAAACAACCTGAAACCTTCGTGACACAACCCCTCCTCTTCCACTCTCCTCTCAGGATTTTGGGCATACATGCACATGTGCCCAGTGTGAGTTTCAAGCCTCCAGGTCCGGGACTCGAACCATGGTCAGTCATGTGGAAATCCAGTGATGTAACCATTACACCATCTGCTGGCCCCTAGGATAGATTCTTTAAGAGATGGCTGGGGTTTACATACTGAGTTCTCAACACCTTTGTAGGAATGAGTTTATCAGAGCCCTTGTTTTGTGATCAGAATAGATTCGACACACAGTAGCAGACTGTATTCATTATCAAGTAGCTATCTATTGCTGCAAAATAAACAACCTGAAACCTTCGTGACTTAAAATTTTCACACGCTTGTTATTTCAGTTTCTTTGGATTGGGAATCTAGGCATGCCTTAGCTGGGTCCTCTGCCTCAAGTCAAGGTCTTAGCTGGGTTAAGACTCAGAGAGGAAGAATTCACTTCCAAATACACATGGTTATTGTCTGGATTCAGTTCCTTAAAGGTTTTTGCATTGTTTTGGTTCTGTTTTGAGGGAAACAGATCCAAAGAAATTTCCAAGGGAGGAAAGGGAATCCAAAGGGTTTTAAAGAAGAAAGACCCAGGAGCATGGATAGCAAGCAGGTGTCCTCCAGAGCAGCTCCGTGGCAGACATCACTAATCAATCACTGCTCTCTTAGCCTCAGAGTCCTAAACTAGGCATCTCTCGGGACTGGTGAGAGGCAATTGGCAAGGAGGTGTCACAAGAGAAGGAGTTCTATGATTCCTTTGGGGTTTGGAGGATGCCCAGAAGTGGGGTTGATGGTGGGATATGGATGGTTGTCAACAGCACACACACCATTGCTGCCTAATCTTACCCCGTGGCAGACATAAGTAATCAATCTCAGAGTTTCAGAATCTTTTTCTGCACAGCAATTCAGACTCATTTGGAATGCGATAAAAAAAATCTATTGGCCATCCTTCTAGTCTAAGGAGGGTTAAACACTAGGGGAATTTCCAAGGGTGGGTCCCCAATACTCACCCTGCAGTCCCATGACACTGCTGACCACCACGATGTGGCCCTGCCTCCTCCTCTTCATGCTTGGAAGCACAGCTTTGACCAGACGGATGGCTCCAAAAAAGTTGGTGTCAAAGACATTCTGCATGGTAGCTATACTGAGCCCCTCCAGGGGCCCGACCAGGCCCATGCCGGCATTATTCACTAAGGGGGAGGACAGTGAAGGTTACCTTGAAGTCCTTCAATACCACTCCCGTGGGGAGGAATCATCTCACCTCCCACTCTAAGTCCTCCGTCATCCCAGTGTAACTTGGGTGGACAAATGTGGAGTGTTTACCACCTTTAGACATGGTTTGCTATAGGGACCATGAGCCCAGGGTGGGCAGAAAGGCATCTCAGAGTGGAGCCCCCTTAACGCATGTGCAATTCAGCCCTGACCCCAAACTGCGGCAAGACAGCCACACCCTTCTGCCTCAGAAGGTTTAGGGACCATGACTAGGTCTTCATCATGCTCTTTTCCCCAAGTGATTCATCCAAGTAATTTTCCCAAATGCATATGGGTTTTTTTTTTTTTCCATATGTGAGAATTTCTATCCCATAAAATCCACCCCACCCACAGGTCTAAGTTTATTTCTGTGTCCATAGTAAATAGATTGGCATTCCGGACTCTCAGCCAACTGGTCTACCCCTTCTATTCAGGGTCAAAGGTTGTTGATGAAGCAAGGGGGCTGGCATTCAGACTTGGCCATGTTGAGAGTCTCTACTTAGACCAAGGAGGTGGGGGGTGACCCCGGGGCCTGCTCACCCAGCACGTCCACTTCGCCCTGGATGCAGCTGAGACACTGTGTTACTGACTCATCACTGCATACGTCCAGTTGAACCACGGTCAGAGTCTGCCCCAGGGTCTCCCCGGCTGCTGCTTCCAGTGTCCCCTTCTTTCGCAGGTCCCTCATGGTGGCCACCACTGGGAGGTAGAGGACACAGCTGAGGCAGGCGCTGGGCTGTGGCCTTGTGTGTGTTTGTGATCGTCCATAGATGAGAGATGGAGACCCACGAGTTGACACACTTACATCATCACACACTCAACGAAATGCACACTCGTGTGCCCAAGCTGACATGTACATCCCTCCAACAAGCCTGTATTGAGCATCTACTACACGCCATGCTCTGTTCTAGGTGCTGAGACTATTACATGAACCACCTGAGTTCAAATCCCAGCTCTGCCACTTTCCCGCTGGGGGACCTTGAATAGGTGACGAAAGTCTTTGACGGCAACGTTGCTTGCCTCAGTTTCCTCTTTCCTTTTTGGGGGGGCTAAAGTATGCATGTGCTTGCCAGAGGAAGGCAGAGAGGGAGAGGAGAACGCATCCCCCGTGGAGCGTGTTCACACTGCAATCCCTTCTCCATCTCTTCCCTTCTGGATTTGGGGCATGCACACGCATGTGCCCGGCATGGTTCTCAAGATGTCAGGGTCAGGACTTGAATTGCTCCATTGGCCACGTGAGTTATCGCTGCCTTAACCACTAGGCCATGGAGCCTGCCTAGATTCCTTTTTTTTTTTTTTTTTAAGAATTATTTTATTTAACTTGATTTATTTATTTTTAATTTGACCAGAGAGAGAGAGAGAGCAAGCTGCCAGGTCTGGGACTCAAACCGCGGTCTACCACGTGGGAGTCCAGCATCCTTAACCACCATACCACCCTCTGGCCCCCAGATTCCTTTTTCTGAAACGGGACGAATGACAGTGCTCACCTCGCAGGGGTGATGTGAGGATAGAATGACTTGCTAGCTGGGAAACATTTAGGATGGAGCCTCGCTCTTCATCTGAGCTCAATAAACAACTCTCCCGTGGATTTACACACCCAGCTGCCCACAGGGACGCAGTGCAACGCCTCCACACGGGCTCTCAGGCTCCTGCGTATCTCAGGGCTGACACGTGGTGGGGTGTGGTTAAGGCTCTAGACTCTCGCATGGCTGACCACAGTTCAAGTCCTGGACCTGGTGGCTGGCTTTCTCACTTTCCCTTTCTCTCTCTCTCTCTCTCTGGTCAAATTAAATAATAATAATAAATTAATGTATTAGTGATTAATTAATTAAAAATAATAAGTTTTTTAAGCTCTGTGTGTCTCTAAGACAGAGACAGAGGGCCTGCCAGCTAGGGCACTGTCCTCACCGCTCCCCCCCCTCCAGACCTCTTAAGTAACACCCCTTTTGTTCACTTGGACTCTAACCTCCTCTGGCTCAGAGGTTCTACTGGTTGGTTGGAGTGTGGATGGGGACGATTTGCTCCAGAGCTGTGGGAGGGCAGGTCTCTGGAACTAGAGGGCTCTTCTTAAGCCCCCAAGGTCAGGAGTACTTAAGAGGCTTAGTTTAGAGCCTTAATCTGGGGGAGAAGTTCAAGTGGCAGGCCCCAGGGAATCTCCGAGGGAAAATGTCTCGGTTCTCATCCTCAATCAGCCCTTTTCAAAATATCATCCGCCCACCCCCTCCCAAGCTCCCCTCCTTTCCTTTACACTTATTCCTCCCGGACACACAGGACAATTTCTTGGGATCTGTTTACTGGGCGTCCTGGCTCCCCGCCCCCACTACGCCACTGCCCCAGGGTTGAGACTGTTCTCTGTTTTATTCACAGCCGTGTTTTCCAGCACCCAGAACAGTGCTTGGTACCCCAAATGCACCCCAAATGATTTGTGGAGGGGGGAGCTGGAAAGGGGGCTTGCGTCCCGGCTTCACCCCCAAATCCACAGGTGTCACTGGAAAGGACAGGCTGGCGGAGACGGGGAAGGGGCCTGAGGGT